TTATTAGGGGCTCATACAACTCTTATCACAATCCATACATACATCAATTGTGTAAAGCACATTTGTACATTCATTGCCTTCAGCATTCTCAAAACACTCACTCTCCACCTAAGCCCCAGGTATCAGCTCCTCATTTTCCCCCTCCCTCCCCGATCTCTCCTCCCTCATGAACCCTTGATAACTTATAAATTATTATTTTGTCATATCTTGCTGTAATCAGTTCCCCCTTTCCAACCCACTCTCCCACCACCCTCCTAATACCACCACTCATACCACTGGTCCTGAAGGGATCATCCACCCTGGATTCCCTTTGCTTTCAGTTCCTATCTGTACCAGTGTACATCCTCTGGTCTAGCCAGATTTGTAAGGTAGAATAATGTTCATCATCAACATTACCTGACATCTTCTTCACTACCACTGCTGTCTGCCTATAACAACCCTATTCATGTCATTTCTCACCCATAGAAACTGATTTTCATTTATCTATTGATCTTAACTATTTCCCTCCATTAATCTGCTGGTAAAACACTGGATTACTGGATCAATCGCCTTAAAATTTTTTTTCAATACTTTTTATTCGTAGTCTCCCTACTATGAGAAAATAAGTCTAATTTTTCTACTGAAATAATTTCAAAAGTTGTTCATTACATTAAGAAAGATATTGGGATCCTTAGGAATCCAATTGTCTTATGAATACCCACTCCCTTAACAGTCCATTATTTCCTTACTTGCACATCAGCTATTTGTATTGTATTTAAATAGGCTATTTATCTTCCCACCTTTGATTATGCCCTAAATATCTCTATATACACTATATGTGTGTGTATATACATATATATGCATGTATATATATACACTATGTGTGTGTATGTATACATTCACAGAGACCCTGTGCACAACAGAACGAAGCACTGCTGGTTCCTGTGCTCTCCTCACTATAGCAATTCTGTGGGAGCCCATTGTTGTAGCCATTGTGTCCATCCTTTAGCTGAGGGTCTTCCTTTCTTTTTTTTTTGCTGACCTTCTACTTTTTCAGATATGATGTCCATCGTCAGGCACTCCTGATAATGCGTTCAAAGTACATGCAATGAAGTCTCACCAACCTAATCTCCAATGAGTACTCTAGTTGTAGTTTTTAAAATAAGATATAATAAGTATGATTAAAGGATACACTTTTAAGGCACACCTTTCCTGATTTTCAAACATATAGTACATGAAATTCTTCCTAAAGCCCAGGATAAAATGGTGCACAGCTCTCTGGCACCCTGACTCCTAGCAATGCTATAGGATGGGGTATAACACCGCCCCCCACCCCGTGAGTTTACAGGACTGTAACTGTTAATGTGATTAGAAATCCCTGTCCTCCTGTCTACCAGAGTTGCTGGTGGTTTCAAACTGCTGACCTTGTGGATCACAGCCCAATGGGGAATCACTATGCAACTAGGGATCACTCAGGAAAAAATATTCAGACTTAAATACTAAGTCCCCTTTCTCCCTCCAAGTATTCCTTGCTAGTTTTTTACTATTATTAAAAAAATAATAAAATTGTACACTTTTCTAATATAGATATTTACTAACTTGCTAATTCCAGTTTTCTAATGTGTAATCATTTACTGTTTACCCTTTTACATGTGAAGACCACTGAGAGTAATTTATATTTGTCCTCATATGTATGCATATCTATATATACACACACACATATCTACATGCACACATACATATACACATGTAATACATATACACATGTACTTACACACAAATATCCACGAGGACCTTCAAAAAGCTTATGGAAAAATATTCAGACCACTGAGAGTAATTTATATTTGTCCTCATATGTATGCATATATATATACACACACATATCTACATACACACATACATATACACATGTAATACATATACACATGTACATACACACAAATATCCACGAGGACCTTCAAAAAGCTTATGGAAAAGGGAAATTAAAGATAATTTAAAATTGCCATGAATGTTTTAAAGCTAATAAACACTTCAATATAAATATTGCTGTACATATCAGTTTTGACTTAATAGGCAAGTTTGCATTTTAACTCATATTATTTATTTGACATGTTCATTTGTCATGATGCATTTTTTGGTAATTTTATCTGTCCACTGGATACTAAGTGTTCCAATTACATTTTCCAATATTTTAGAAGTCATCATATAATTCAATATATCATCAAAAAATTGTCAAAAATTGAATAATTTTATTATTTTCCTATAATAATCCATGAAGTTATTGTAAAAAATCAAATATTTTCCAAAGGAATAATAGAAATTCCAAGCACAGGTATAAATGAGCGATACCACTTTTACTTAAAGTACATACACACATATATCCACATATTTTCGTTAATTGTTACTCGCAGACCAAACATTTTTAAAGCAACAGACACAAGCTTCCTAAAAATAGTTTTATCTAAGGCTATTTCTAATATGATTACTAGTATGATAGATATTTATATAACCAATAAAATAATAATAAACTTAATTTAAATATAAAATTTAAATGCTAAAATATTACATGTGTAAATTAAAAAATAAAACCCTTAAATAATCAATTACCTTTCTCAAAGCAGGGCAGAAATTAAAGAAAAGCCGAGGGTTACATGTTCTGAATCTTTCAGGAAGATGCCAATTCTGAATTATTTCTTCATCAGAAATCACATGATGATCTAATGCTTTAAGAGACCAAATACTATTAACAAGCACATGTCTATATCCTTTCTTCAGACTCACTGGACAATCGAACAAAGTGAGCGCAGTGAGACTAGGGCAAGCTGATAAGACACATACATTCTTTAACTTCGCAAACCCATTGTCATGGAGATAAAGGAGTTTTAGGTACTTCAATCCAATCCAAAATTTGGTTTCTGGTAAGGCTTTTATCTGAAACAGTATTAATAAAACACTTTAAACTTTCTATAAAACTCTTATAAACAGGTCTCTAATAAGCATCAAAATTTATATTTCCTCAAATAACACAAATATAATTCATAAGCAAAGATAAGGAATTTTCCATCATTCAAATGAGAACTGGGAAAAATTATGGCACAGTGAACATTTAGAATAAATAATTATCACTAAAACATTGAAACATATAAACATGTACAAATTTTAAAAAGTCTTTTATAAAGCGGTTAATCATTAAAATTTTCTAAAATAATTTCCTTACATAATTGACAGGTCAAAAGCATGCTCAATCAGACTATGAATCATAATTGACTCAAGGGCAATGAGTTTATGCATTTGTTTGAGTAAACTATTCCCAATAACTACATTTGCTTATATATATGTTAATTTTGTTCACATTTTTTATATTTTTATGTTTTGTTGATTTTTTGTTTATATTTTATATAAAATATTTTTCTCAAAGAAGTCCTATAGAGAGATAATTTAATTTATCTCTTATGTATTTCATATATAAGAGGATTATATATAAATTTGAAAATATCTGAAATAATTGTTACTTACCTGATTTCCATGGAGATCAAGTTTGATTAATTTTGAACAATTTGCAAGTGGTTGTATATCTGTAACAAAATTGTTTGAGAAGATGCATACTCTAAGAGAGATACAGGATTGTAAATTTTCCATCGATTTTAGATGAAGGCCATTGAACTTCACAAAAACAAAATCTTTTTGATCTTCTATCAAACTTTCAACGTAATGATTCCATTCTTCATGGATGGTTAGCTCTTTTGTGATTGTTCCATGAAACATCTAGGAAAGATGGAAGATGGCTTACAAAAAAAAATTTAATATAAAACTAGTCTTTCTTAAACACAAAGAATATTGCCATAAAATACTAAAAATAAAGAGGTTGGAAAGTTTACATTTTTATCTCATTTGCATAGCATCTTTTATCCCACAGCATCTTAAAAGTCTAACACTTACATAACCACTAATTATAGAGGTATTACTTCCATCACCAATGAAACTAATCTGAGGGAGCAAAACTTTCTTCATTTAGAGTGCAGTGATAACTCAATTATTGAATTCAATTCATTCCAAACTTTTTTCAAACACCAAGAAGTTCAAGAACTGAATATATTTTTCGAATAAGAAATAAGGGAAAAAAGATAATTGGTTTTGAGGTTAAAAATTTATATTTATCAACTCACTATGGATACTATTTGCCTTCTTGCTTATCACTATCTCAGATATGCTCTCACCATTGCCTTGTTTCTGATTTTCCCAAATTAACAGTAACTTTTTAACTTCTTCAATGTTTTGGGTTCTTTGTTTCATGGTTAAGGATTTTACACCTTTTGCTACATTAGCCACTTTCAATACATTATTTTTTCAAAAATGCTGATAACGTCAACACAGCCCATATTGGGTTAAGCTGCCAAATCAGACAAGCAGCAACCTGATTCAGATTTCCCAATGAATCTATAACTCTATCGCGGTTTTCACAGTTTCCTCTCAGATTTACTGACGGCACCGTTAACTGTCCTTGGAGCCTCTGGTGCAGCATTTTATGCAAATAAAGTGGAAAAAGCCAGCACAAATATGAATGTTTTAATGTACTAACACAAGCACGATATGTTGTCTGAGTAAGAGCAGCACTTACACGGAAACATCGACCCTTTGTATGATCACAAGACACTCTGAGGGACTCACAGCCAGTGCAGGATTTTTCAAGCCAGATTTTCAGATGGACTATCAAGAAAAGCTATGAACACTGAGCAGATTTTTGTGAAAAAAACGTTGCTGTTTGGGTAGTGGAAAATTGGAACTTGGAGCAGTTTGATAACCAAGGTATCATTGTACTTAAGAAAACTTGAAATTGGTGTGGTAAAAATGTCACCGCTGAGTAAGACGACAAAAAATGAACAAAAGAAAACTATTCTTGGCCTAGATAGAATGCTAATCTTGATAGAAATACTCTTAAAGGAATGCATGGAAAGATTATTTATAATGGATGGCAGATCCACAGTGTATTCAATTATTTGTGTTTCCAAAACAGAAAAAGCAATATTGTAATTCAACTTAAAGACATACTAATCTCAGAATAGTCTATAACAAGAGCTTATGAAAGAACACATCTAGATGCATAAAACCATTATTAGAATTAGTTTTTTGAAGCCAGTAATTATTCTACAAGAAATCTGAAAAATAAGAGTAAGACACCAAAAAAAAAATGTTTCTCACCTCCCCCTCCTTTCTTTATGTCATTAACCAATGTAAGCTACAATGAACCCTTTGGCCAATTAACACAGGTAATCTTGGGACAGCAGGGATATTATAGCTTTCGTTACTATACCAGTACACAAATTTACCATATGTACCTATTTTGTTTCAATGTATTTATTTCTCAAATTGATTATTTCACGTATCATATTTTGACCTGAGAATTCTTCATTTAAGGGGGTACCCAAAAACACGGAAAAAAGCTCCACTGAGTTAGTGCACCCAGGAAAGTTGCCTGGGAAGGTTCTCTTTGGTCACTGTGAATTTTTCCGTAAAAGCAGTTTCGCTCGAACCTTGGTTTTTTTTTTGATGGCTGATTTAAGAGAATGAAATCAGCTATGAAATTTTGTTCTCTGCTCAGGAAAAATGTCACAGAAACTGTTGTGATACTAAATGCAGCTTACAAGGAGCGCACTATGGGAAAAACCCAAGTATAGGTGTGTGTTTCATACATTTCTGCATTTCTGAAAGGGGTTTATGGAAATGCAGGTTGGTTTGTCCCACTTACAAGAGACAAATTGACACATGAAAGAGATGGGTGACCTCAGAGCTTCAGTGTCACAGTACAAGTGCATCATAAAAGACTTCAAAGTATTCACTGAAGCCCTGAAATAAAACCCTATTTCTAGTACCAAAGCATATATTATTGAAAAAACAAACCCAGAATATCATCCTAAGAATATCTGAATTATAACACCGACTGAATCTCCAAACTAGGATGGCATCTAGAGTTACATGGAAGACATTAATGGGGAAGAAATAGAATCCCAAAATTTGGGATAGGGACAGAAAGCCCTAAAATTCTATTGAATCACTCTTGCCAAAAGCATCACCCCCACCCCCAATCAGAAGATACTAATTAATCATTATATGTTTACCCATGATCAATACAACCATTATCCCTCAGTCCATATTTGATAAGATTAATGCAACTGTCCCTGCTTACATGGTACCTGGAACATTAACTGGAGAATTGCCTCAGGCGGATGTCAAGCAAGCCATTGCTAAATGCTTCCAGAAAACATTCTTACTACACATTATCGCTTTCAGACCTCTAAACAGACTTAAGTCCCAGTAAGCCCCAAAAGATGAAGTACAATTTGTAACTAATGAAGATATGTGCTATATTCCAAATAAATTGCTTTTTCTAATATGTACAAACAGAAATGTTGAGTATATGTGTTGGTTTGTCTTTTAAGAGTATGGGATAATGGTGCAAGGAACATTAAGTTAAATCAGTCTGAGTTTATTGACATGAGTTCACTACACACAGATTTTTTCATTCAATGTTTCAGCTTGAGAGGTAAGGAAAGATCTATTAGCTTGGTTGGCTCAATGAACTATGACTTGCATAATGCCCAACAGTATATCAAGCTGGCATATCATGCCTGCCTTTTTATAATGCAGAATGTGTTTCCAGGGTTTAGGTAAATTGACGTGTTAGAGTGGGTGGCATAGTGATTACATAATGGGCTGTTACACTGCAAGCTTGGCAGTTTGAAACCCCCAGCCACCCCATGGGAGAAAGATGAGGCTTTCTCCTCCCATAGAGTTACAGTCTCAGAAACCCATAGGGCTAGCTCTAACTTGACCTACAGAGTTGGCATGACTGAGGAACAACTCAATGGCAGTGAGTTTGGTTTGGTTAAGGGGACATAAAGTACCTAGAAGACATACCTTTAACACAATGGTGAAGAACAAGTTTGTGAAGAGTGCTGTGATTGTTATTTTATGCGAGTCAGATTTGATATCAGGAACTACTCTAATTAAATTAAGACACATAACTATAAAGGGTCTGATGGGAACCTGTTGTGGTAGGGGTCAAGTGTCAGCATTTTATGGACAGAGAAAAGTGATGTGGTTACTATAATGAACAGCAGAGTCAAAGTAGTAATCACAATAGTCTGATTCATATACATTGACGTTATTGACTACTAAGGGGGGGATGTCCCTAAGAATGGAACTGCACTGAATACTTATTTGATGTGTGCAAACAGAATTAATTTTTTTTGTAAAATGGAGAGTAGTCTAACTCGAACCACTGAAAATAGCGAGTGATAGTCCCTCAGTCAATTCCCAGACTTGAGCTAGTTTTACAGAGCCTCACTCCTTTAAATGAAGAGGAGACCAGGTTCCTTTGAGGAAAGATCCCCTGACCCAGTCAAACAAATTTACTGTTAGTCTTTCTGTAAGCTTTTTGCAAAAGGACTGATAGTCTCTTAGAAGCGTATCTGTTCATTGGGGAAAGAGAAATAGCCAGACTTTTCTGAATTGACACCAATTATAGAAAACACAAACCATTTTCAAGGCCCACCAGTCAGAGCAGCGCCATATGAAGGTTAAATCACTATGTCTCACAGTAGGTCCAGACCTATCCCACAGTGATCTCTCCAGTTCCATAATGTACAAGCGAATATATGTAATCAGTAATTGACAGACCCCATACTGGGTCTCTGACATGTGGAATGAGAGATATTATAAAGGGAAAAGCTATGGAGAAGCCATTAGAACTGACACTACTTAGAAAAATTGTAAACCAAAATCAAGACCATATTACTGGAGACATTTCAAAGACTAGTGCAAGGATGTGAATAAGGCAGAAGTGGTGATTCCAAGTACATTTTCATGTAACTTGCATAGTTGGCTTATGAACAAAAGCACGTGGATCTTAGAGAATTAGATGGACTATGGTAAACTTTAATTATAGCTGCTTCTCTAAATAAAGTTTTATTGCTTAAACAAATTAATAATTCTCTTGGTACCTGGTATGCAGCTATTGAGCTAGTCAATTCAGTTTTCTCAATGCCAGGGTCAAAGGATCACCAGAAGCAGTTTTCCCTTGGGAGGCATAGCAAACAGTACAGTTTCACCACCCAAGCTCAGGGTACATCAGTCCTCCAGGACTATGCCGTAGTTTGGTCCTCGGGACCTTTATCACCTTTCCCTTCCCAAAATGCCACACTCCTCTAGTGCATTGAGGGCAGTCTGCAAGTTGGACCCAGTAATGAAAAAAAAAAAAAAAAAGAGGCATCAATGTCTCTAGACTCTGAGCTGCCCACCATGAACTAGATGTTGTTTGACACACAGAGTCATAAAATTGGGTATGCACAGAGCACTCCATCATTCAATGGAAGGACTATCTGTGAGCTTGGGCTTGAACAGACTGGAAGGTACATGTAAGCTGCATGAGGAAGTCACCTAAATGCCATGATTTCTGATCTTCTCACTTTACCTTCCCTCTCCTAGTCTGCACCTATTGCATCATGAGGCGTTCCTTACAAGCAGCTGAGAAAGAGAAAACTAGTGCTTGGTTTAGAGATAGGTCTGGTGATAATAGATGCACCAATCAAACATGGACACTGAGATTTTTCTAAAGGAGAGTGGTGAAGGCAAATCCTCCAATGGTCAGAATGTGGAACACTTCACTTGACAGTGCATTTTGCTTGGAAGAAGAAATGGACAAATGTAGGACTAATGGACTGTGACCAATGGTTTGGAAGGAGTGTGGGCCTTGAAACGAGTATGAAGGAAAACTTAATGCCAGGAGATGTGAAGAATACATATATTACAGACCTTTCTGAGTGATCAAAAAAGTGAAGATGTTTATATCTCATGTAAATAATGAGGTAACCAGAGTTGCATCTACAGAGAAGGATTTTAACAGCCAATTCAACAGGATGACACATTGTGTAGACACCAGAAATACTCCTTCCCCAGTCATTCTTCTCACTACTGACTCAATACTCAATGGGCTCATGAACAAAGTAGTATTGGTGGCAAGGATAAGTGGTATAAGGGATATGGACTCAGCAATGCGGACTTCCACTCACCAAAGCTGAGTTGGCTAATGGCCACTGTTGAGTCCCCGGTCTGGTAGCAGTAGAGAGCAGCACTGAGTCTTCATTAGGCTTTTCCTTGGGTTGCTCAAACAGAAATCTTGTGGCAGGTTGATTACAATAGACTACTTCCACCATAAAAAAAAAAGTAATCTTTTGTTCTAACCGGTATAGACATTTATTCTGAATACAAATTTCCTTCCCTGCATGCACTGCTTCTGCCAATAGCACCCATGAATTTACAGTATACTTTATCCACCACTATGATATTCCATACAATATTGTCTTGGATGAAATAACGCACTTCTATACTCAGGAAGACCACTGGCCATACCATGCCCCTCCCCCCATCATACTGAAGCAGCTGGTTTGATAGAACAGTAGAGTGAGTCCTTCTACAGACACAATTATGATGGTAGCTAGATGGCAATGCCTTGCAGAGTTGGGGCAGTATTTCTCCAAGAGGCTTTGTTTGCTCTAAACTAGAATCCATTATACAGATTACATTATATCTTCAATGGCCAGGAGTCAAGGGTTAGAAATGAGAGTTGCACCATTCGCTATAACTCCTACTGGATTACAAAATATTTGCTTCCTCTTCCTATGATATTATGTTCTTTGGGCCTTCATGTATTAACACCAACAGAAGGAATACTCTTACTAGAGACACAACCTTGATTCCATGGAAATGGAAATTAAGAATGCCCCACTCACCACCCCTCCTGTCACTTTAGGGTCCTCTTACCGCTGGAATAACAGAATAAGAAAGAAGTTGCTATATCAGGGGCATGATTGATCCTGATTACTAAGGGGGAATCAGATTAATATTATTTAATGAATGTAAAACATATGTTTGGAATTCCTTAGGATGTCTTTTAGCACTACTATGCATTGTGTTAAAATCAATGATACACCACAGCAATCTTATTTTGACATGAATACTAATGGTCCAAAATATTCAGAAATGATGGATTGGGTCACAACACCAGGAAAAGAATCTTGACCAGCTGAGGTGCTTGCTGAGAGACAAAGAAAATATCGATGGGTGGTGGAAGAAGGGATTCCAAATAACAGCTTCAACAACCTAGTGGAAGAAATGAGGACTGTAGTTGTTATGAGTATCTCCTCCTTGTATGTATGTAATATTTTTGATTTGATAATAAGGCTACTGTATTTTCTACTGTACAAGTTAGTTGCATCATGTTTAATACAAGAATGACTTTTAATTGTCTTTGTTTAGTGATGACATATATATTAAAATGTGTACGGATGCCAAGTTAACAAGGGGTGGACTCTAATGGTTAAAGTTTTGTGTTAACATTGTTGGGCCATGTTTCTACAATGGTGTCACAATTAAGAGGTGGTCATCGCCTAATGATGAGATTTCCTCATGGGTGTTATTTGCTTCTAATATAAGTGTATACTGTGAAAATAATTGCTTGCCTTTTACTTGGTTTGGATCCTGCATCTGGCCCTCATCTAGCCTCTGGTTCATTGGACTTGACCCATGGACCTGCTGCATTGCCTTCTGATCTTGGGAATCATCAGCAACTAGCTGTCTTACCTGCTGACATTGGTTGATTCACTCGCCTTTGCAGTGAGAAACCTGCTAACTGACCTGCTGATCTTGGTGCTCTTAGTCCTTGCAGCTACATGAGTCAAGAGAAGCCTCTAGTTAGACCTTTGGCACAGGAATTTGGAATTTGCCTACCTCTACAACTGCATGAGCCATTTCCTAATGTAACCCACTTTGTGTGTGTGTGTGTGTGTGTATAAACATAGATACATACACATAAGTGTCACTGGATTTTCTTCTCTAAAAAATCCAGCCTAAGACACCTATTCATTCCAGTAATTTTCTTGAAGGGTCTTTTGGATTTCCTACATCTAGACTCAAGTAGAAATAATTTTCGCTAGCCTATTCAAGTAGAAATAATTTTCATTCATTTTTGCTTATTTGAATGCCTCTTATTTCCCTTCCTTGCCTTATTGCTCTGGTTAAGATTTCCAAGATATTTAATAGAAGTGGTGATGAAGAGCCTCTTTGTTTAGCTGTAATTTTCAAGGGAATGATTTCAGTCTCTCTCATTGGTGAATTGACCATTCTAGTGTTGACCATTGGTTTTGTGTCTATAGTCTTAATTATGTTGAGCAATCATCCTTCTGTTTCCATTTTCCTGAGCATTGTTATATACATTGAGTGTTTTATTTTTGCTAAATGTCTTTTCTCAATAAATTTATATGATCATTGGGTTCTCTTCCTTTTATTTATGTGATGGATTACATTTACTATTTTTCCAATAGTGAAGCATCCTTGCAATTCATCATTATTATGTTTTTGATATGTTGGTTTCTATTGTCTAAGACATAGCTAAAAGTTTTGAATTGGTATTCACAAAATATATTGGTCTATAATTTTCTTTCTAGTGATATCTATCCCTAAGTTTAGTACCAGAGTTATGATTGTTTCATAGTATGAGTTCTGGTGTAACCCATCCTTTTTCATATTCTGGAATATTTTGAGTAAAATTGATATTGGCTCTTCTCTGCTTGATAGAAATTGTCAGTAAAACCATGTGTGCCACAGTTTCTTACTGTTATTGGGAGCTGATTTATTATTATTATTACCTGTTTAGTTTCTTCTTTTGTATAAACCAACTCTACCATTACATCACTGCTGAATCTTAGTAACCTTACAGGACAGGATGGAACTGCTCTTGTAGGTTTATGAGACTGTAACTCTACAAAAGTACAAAGTCTCATCATATATTATGCTAACCACAAGGTAATCAGTTCAGAAACCATCAGCTACTCTGAGAAAGAAAGATGTGGTAAAAGATCTCCCTGAAAGTTTCAGGGAGAAATTTCTGTCCTGTACTGTAGGGTCACCACCAGGAGTCAGCATGGACTCTATGGCACTGAATTGAGTATTTTTTGGAAAGATCTTTTCAAATGTTCTCTCACAGATTGTGTTAGTCTTGGTAGATAAAGTATTTCAAAAATTTCATTCATCCTAAAATTTCATTCATAGGTTTTTAACCATATTAATGGACAGTTATTTATATTCTGTTATTCTTTTAATTTCAGTTTCTTCTTTTGTGAAAATACCAATTATAACACAGACAAAATTCTAGAATAATTCACCTACAAATACATTCACTCAAAAGGGGGGGGATTAGAAACTGTACAAAAATAGCTAATAGTATAGAAAATTGATAATAAAATTTCAGAAACAGATAAACATTGGAAGGAGAACAATTAAATTAATGGAAGACAGAATTAGCAAAATGGAAAGCAAATCTCTTAATATTAATCTGTTGTTGTAAGAGTCAGAGGAAAAAAGAAGAGTAATGCCTTGCATAGGAAAATCCATAAGCAAAATTAACATAACACAGTAAATATACTGAACAAAGAAACCATTGACAAACACAATACATATACAACACAATAAAAGCAGTTAACTCGTATGTATTGATAATCACACAAGCACCTGTAAAGTATAGATAGAGAGTAGTTGAATGGGAAAGAAAACATGACCCACCACTATGCTGCCTAAAAAAGACATAACTTAGACACAAAATAAAAACAAGCTAAGTATTAAAGACTGGAAAAACATATTTCAAACAAATGACAACAAAAAATATACAGGAGCAGCATTATTATTTTCAAAATCATCTATTTTTTAAAGCTGTGCCTGACACCATTGCACCTGGTTGTTCTAAGGGTTTATGGCTTTAGTTTGCATATTAAGTCCTTACTCTACTTTGCTTGGTTTTGTATATAATACGAAGAAACAATCCTGTTCATTTTCCTACATGTGGAAATTCAATTTCCCCAGCATCATTTATTAAAGACACTTATTTCACCATTGAATGAACTTAATATCTTTGTAAAAACAAATTGACCATAGATGTGTGGGTTTATCCTTAGAACATCAATTATATTCCATTGTAATATGAGTCACTAATCTATTAAGACCTGGTTGTTTTGCTTTCTATGGCAATATACAAGTATCTCTGGGATACAATGAGATCTCTTCCTAAGGGATCTCTCAAGCAATCTTAAGGAATTTTCTATGGAACTTGGAACCAGTGCATAGGATTCTTATACTTGATCTTGCCCAAAAGGCCGAGAAGCGATAAGTGCAGTGCATATGATTCTTATTTTGTCTTATTTTAGTGGGGGGAGGGGGGGAGGCACAAAGTCCTTTCAGTGATGTAAAAGCTTCACATGATGTAAAAGCTTCACATGCAGCAAATAAAGGTGATTGTGATAAAGAATTGGGTTGAGTAGGGAACAGCTCAATAATATCAAAATGGGGCAAATTTATATAACATAAAGGGAAAATACAAGTTGCTCATATGTTGGACTATAGCAAACCAGGAACTGGCTGTAATATGTATAAAAATAAGGAAGTGTGACCAATGTTCCTTTTAGAAGGTATTTTATTAATATAGCATTTCCAGTGTGGTTTGACTTGAACAGAATAAATAGACTTACTACATATTTAGACTAAAATTTAAAGAAGGAAGAAAATAAGAAAGAAACATCCACTTCCATTGAGAAAATTCTGACTCATAGCAATCCTGTAGGACAAAGTGAAACTGCTCCTGTGAGTTTCCAAAGTGTAAAGCTTCATGGGAATAGAAGTCTCATCCTTCTACCACAGTTTATTCTGGTAATAATTAAGGTGTGCCATAAGTACAACTGACTCATTTGGTTTCTTAGGTCATAATCTTTATGGAAGCAGCTTGTCATGTCTTTTCTCTTGAGGAGCATGAGGTGGTTTGGTTAGCATTGAACATGTAATAACTGCAGCACCATGGTTTCTCCTTGCTATCCCATGACTATTGAAACAATTGTTTCACAGTATTTGGTTCTATTGAATGTAAATAAATCAATAAAACCCTAGGTTTTTGTTTGTTTACAACAGCCAAAGAAATTTACAACTCAGAGAGTACTCAACATTTTAATTTTTTTACTTAAAAGTGACATTAATAAAAAATTTGTAAAAGGATAAAAAAGATAATAAAAAAGAGTATACTAAAGATGCACAGTATAACTAATTCTTGTGTATTTTATGTTAATAATTAGTTTGATTTTTCTATCATGTCATATAACTTAGTGTCCTCTTTAGTTTTTTCTCTAATCATCATTCTATCAGAAACATTTTCTATGATGTTATTAAACATATACACACCAAGTCTATTAGTTTAAAAAGGGGGTTAAATTTCAGAAATTAAAGTGTATTTTACAAGCCTCATCTACAGAAAAGCTGTTCTATGGAAATGGCTTATTGCTATTACCAAAGAAATAACACCAGTATCAAATCAAATCAAGTCTCTGGTCACATGTTTTAATCATAAGAAAATAGCGATAAATAACTCTATATATGCTAATAGAAACTCTCACTTACCTCTCTAATTAAGAAGCTGAGTTGTTTTGCGTCTTTGTTGTTGTAACTGTTTTTTTGTTTTTCAAGTTGCTAATTCATTTCTTCTCTACCTAGTCCTAAAGAATATATTTTGAGTAATGAATGAAAATGATGTTTTCTTTACACATACCCAGATACTACTCAAAATTGTTGTATTGAGTCTAATATACAGACTCATTAGACCAGTAAACCATTTAATACAGAATAAGGTTTTCTTATAAGAAAATTTAATTTTTGATATTCAAAGAACTACACAATTTAAGAGTTAACATATATGGTCATTAAAAAATTCTAATTTAGTATTTATTGAAACCAGTCTTAGAAAATAAAATTTTTCTTCAGTACTTTATTTCTCTAAATCTACTCAGACACGAGATCCAAGTATGTCTGATCTCCTCAATTCCTGGATCAGTCCTCTCAGAAATAAGAATACATTCAGATTCCCACTCTACTCTAACTCAGCAAACTCCAACCGCCCTGCCATCAAGCTGATTCCACCTCCTAGGTAGCCTATAGGGCAGAGCAGAACTACTCCTGTGGGTTTACAAGACTGTAACTCTTTTGGGAAGTAGGAAGTTCAGTCTTCCTCCTATGGAGCAGCTGGTAGTTTCAAATTGCACACCTTGTCAATTGCATCATATAAAAAAATGTGTTTTTGCAACACTATATTAGAAAATATCATGTACTATACATTTATAATACATACATTTACAATGAGCTCCAGAAAAAAATTTTTCTTGACATGAGCTGTATTTATTGATCAATGATATTATCCAACGTATTTCCAATTTCTTCTACCTCTCCTAAAGTGAAAATTTTAAATTCAATGTTGTAATGCAGTTTTATTCATCTAGAAAAACACCAACTATAGGCCTCCTTATTTTCAACCAATATCTTGTAGTTGCTTTGCCTTGTTCCTTGGTAATTTTAGAATAAAGTTACTCTTTGAAGGTGTATAGTTTGAAAGCATTTGTCTGTTTGTTTGTGCATGGAAAGTACCAACCAAACTCACTGCATTCAAGTTGATTCCAGCTCAGAATGACTCTAATACTGAACAGAACTGCACCATAGAGTGTCTGAGACTGTAAATCTTTACAGATGTAGACTGCTTCATCTTTCTCCTTGGTGCAACTGTTAGCTTAAAATCCCCTACCTTTTGGATAGCAACCCAACACTTAATCCACGGAGCCCTACTTTTTTACAAAGTTACGTTACATACTATGTACTAAGACAAGCATTGCTGACTGGCATTGGATACGAACATACCTCATTTCTCCAATTTATGTACAATTTAACTTAAATATTTAGAAATGCAAGTTAATTTTAATCTGTAGACTGCCTGCATTTCACTCTTAATGACTTGAGCTGTATTAACATAATGATTCCAATTTACCCCAACTTCTTACCAACACTCTTACCCCATAACAGTTAATCAGCTTCAAGAGCTAACGACATTGAGATTCAGCAAATGTTTCACAGCTAACAAATCAAGAGAACTCATAATTGTCTCTCAACTAGCTCATCGTGTCTCAGTAGCACCACATTCAACAAGTTACACTCAGCACCAAATCTCAAAATTATTTTAAGTATATTGTATAGATATTTATTATACATGGTGTATATAATATAGAGAGAAAGAATCTGTGCATGTATCAAAGAACCCTGGTGGCATAGTTGGGCTGCTAAATTCAAGGTCAGCAGCTTGAAACCAGCAGCTGCTCTTTGGGAGGAAGATGGGACTTTCTACTCCTGAAAAGAGTGACAGTCTCAGAAATCCACAGGGGCAGTTCAGTCCTGTCCTACAAGGCCTCCATGAGTCGGCATGGACTTGATGCCAGTGAGTTTGATTTTTAGTTTGGTATCTACAAATTTATATATCTCTAATTAACGTATGTAAGGTCTCAAAGATCTGAAATATAAAGGATTTAAAGATTATGTTGTTGCATATTTACATATGTAAGACATGTACATGCAATATATACATGTATTGTTATATGTGATTTTTCCATATATCTATATTAATCTTTAGGATCTTCTTGAGAAATGACCCTCACATATCCAGTGCCATGTGAAAGAAGTTGTGTGATCTAAGCAGTTTGGCAATGTGCACTGATAAAAGTTTAATTCATTCTCACAGTGCAGGGGGATGATTTGTATCACTTTCAGATATGGGTATAACTATTTCCAAGATGGCTAATGGAAAGCTAACCACCATGATGTCTCTAACCATGCAGTTGCACACAGTAGGCTCTGTGCAGCCTGTATGAGCACGCCATGAGACGCAGAGGAAGTTCTACAAGGACAGAGGAGCCCTGGTGGCTAGTGTTTACACGTTGGGCTGCGAACCACAAGGTCAGCTTTCTACTTCTATAGAGTTACAGTCTCTGCAATCCATGAGGGAAATTCAGCAAGTTTTGATTTTATATTGTGATAGTTATTTTTTATTTGTTTTTAAGTTTCATTGACATACAATGCACACATCATACATTTCAGTAGTTCAATCATATTCACACGAGTTATACATTCATCAATAACCAATTCCAGGATATATCTTTTTTCCATGTACTCCTTAGTGTTAGGTCCCTATTTCCTGCCAGGTTCCCACCCCCACCCCATGTCTCTTTGAATCTATTAATCCAGTTTTTGTGTATATGCTGTTGTTGCTATTGTTAGGTACCATCGAGTCACCTCCAACCCAGAGCGACCTGTGTAACAAAGGAACTAAACGCTGCCTGGCCCGTTCCTTTAATCTACTAGTGTGTTTAAGGCAAAATCTAGTTCACTTAGTTGGAGTTCCAAATTGGATCTTCTGTTGTGATCTGTAAGTGATGTTCTGTGCCTCAAAAAGCAGACTATAAAGTCCTGTTGTTTACAATACATAGTCCGAGTCCCCAAGGGCTGTATACACAGGGAGTCAAAAGTGCTTAGTTCGAGACATGATACTGAGCTTACTGACTTAGTCTCCCCTTGGTGATTAGCATACTTAATGTGGAGTGACTGAAATTTAGTTGCCTTCTTTGGGACTGACATGTCCTCCACTCTATAGCCTCTTGACTTGGGCTTTTAGTAAGGCCCACTAATCACTTGTAGAGGAGTGCCTGCTAAATTGCGGTGACCGTAGAATAATGTGATATGGCAGGAAGTGATTGGTCTTTTCCCTCCCTTCTCATCATGGGAAATTGACCCAGTTAGGGTGAGGCCTCCCCTGTCAAAGGAATTTTGAAGATGTATACAAGTAAGGGGTGGTATATGACAGACACACTCATCACCTGAGAAACTGGAATTGAAGATTAGATGACTTATTAGCAGAAGCCTGCCTGGGTGTTTATTTTATAGTAGTGGTCTCACACAATACTTATCCTTTCACGATTGGCTAATTTCAGTTGGTATAATGCATTCTAGGTCCATCCTTACTTGTGAGGTGTATCAGGGTTTCGTCCCTGTTTTATAACACATGTATTGTTTTCCATGTGTGCACATACCAGAAGTTTCTTTATCCATTCTTTTACTGATAAGTCTGGGTTGTTTCAAGTGTCTTGTTCTTGTGAATCGTGGTGTAATGAACTTGGAGGAGTAAACATTTGTTCATGTTCTGTCACTTACTTCTTTGGGGTAGTTGTATTGCTGGGTCATACAAGATTTCGAGTCCCACTTGGTTTATGTAGCACCATATTGCTTTCTACAGTAGGTGTCCATGTTTACGATTTGTGTACGAGTTCCAATCTCTCCACATACTATCCAGTGTGTTATTTTGGGGGGGCTGGAGGGGATTTGAACTGCGTTATCATTGTGGATTAAAGGTGCTATCTCATAGTACTTTTGATTTGCATCTCCTAGATGGGTAGAGATTGTGAGCATGTTTGTTGCCCATTTTAGTGTGTGAGAGTTCATTATATGTGTGACACCTTGATTCAGCTATCAAACCCAATATTTTGGTCCAACAAGAATCTAGATGTTCCTGTGGAAGTATTTTGTACATATGATTAATATTTAGAATCAATTGACTTTATGAAAAGCAGTCTCTTCCAAAATACGAGGGGACTTCAAAATGTGCATGAAAAAATGCCATTGTCTTTTAAGGCCAATATTTCCATGAACTTACTACTTGAAGTTTTTTTCTATGAGTGGGCCTTATTTAAACAGTTGAAAGTCTTTATAGAAAAACTGAGGTATCCCACGATTAAAGGATTCTTTACAAGTTTGTAAATGACATCCTGCTAGGATTGCTAGTCTGCTACCAACAATTTCAGACAAAAGATGATGGAGTTTCCAGTCTATCACCTGATCTATTCAGACATAGAACTGATAGATTGCCTAGATCACTGCATAATTTACAGATATGAATTTGCCAGCTCCCACAATCACATGAGCTAGTTCCTTAAATTTGATCTCATGAGCCAATTGCTGAAATTTAATCTCCCTCTCTCTGTGTGTGACTATGTATATGTTATACAGGTATGCTTCATTTTATTCAATTTTTCTTTATTGAACTTCAAACATATTGCATTTTTAAAAATTAAAGGTTTGTGACAATTCTGCAAACAGCAAGCCTATCAGGACCAATGTCTACCATGTGCTCAGTTCATATCTCTATGAAAATTTCACTTTGGTAATTATCACATTATTTTGAATTTTTTATAATGCTATCACACACCTACTAGGTCAAAGTATTGTGTAAACATAACTTTTAAATGCCCTGATAAACTCACAAATTTACTAACTTTACTGTGAGAATCATTTTATTGCAATGGTGTGAAATTTAACTCACAATATACAGTGATATGCTTGTATAAAATTATGTATTACAGAGAGAGAGAGAGATTTTCCAAAAATAGAGATCTGTGTGTAGATCTGAGGTTAAGTCAGAAAACATTGCTACTAGGGTTCCAATTCATACACACACAGATCTATTCCAAACAAACATGTGTTTACACATATATCGACATCAGTAAATGGCTTCAGACAAATTCGCTCTCTCTAATACATTTGTCTGCATCTCATTCACGTGCCCTCAGAAAGATTTTATTAAAAAATCTTTTTTGATTTCAGAGGATATATGTTTGGTAGTTAAATTTCAGGCAGCGAGTTCCTCTCAGAAGACTATGGGGACTTTTTGTTTTAATTCCAAAGGACTTAGCTTGACAGATTTTCTCTAAAGACACAGAAAAATGACGAGGGTTTATTATGAAGAAGTTTTAAGAAAACTGCATCAGAGTGGATAGTTTCACCAAGAAACTGTTTTCCATTAAGGCATGCTCCTTCTTCGAGGGCAGCAGGGCTGCCCTTGCAAATTTCACGGGGAGACCTTACCCATCCACTCCTCAGTCCTGATGTTTACCTGAGACTTTGGATTATTATTCTCTCCAAAACTCAGAACATTTAAAAGGAACATGACCTGAGTCCCTTGAGGAAGCCCAAATTACCATTTTGACGTGCTGTAAATTAAGGAGCACAGAATTCTTCAGGGAAGGATGCTCGTGATGGAAACAGCCCCTTCTGAGGTATACAGACCGAAGATACCACCCAAACCAAATGCACTGCCGTACATGACAGACCAGAGCTGCCTCGGTGAGACTCTGACCCTCGACCAGAGTTGAAACCCTATCTTTACCTCATGGAGCCGCTGGCAACCCATATGACCACGATATCACCAAGCCTGAAAATGATCAACTGTAACTTCACATTTTCTAATTTGTGTTCAAAAAAGGTTTCTATAATTTTGCAGCAATACTTTAAAATTTACCCTCTATCTATATAGATAAGGAAAAATAGAGAAAATTTAAAAAGTAATTCTACTTCTTTCTCTGGAGAATCTTAATATGTATTTGAAGACTCAGTATTTTCATGTAATTTGAACTGACGATTAAGGCATAAGACAAAGGAAAAAATATTACAAAGCATGGGATATGAGTATCTAATGTGGGTGTGTATACAGATATAAAAGGGAGAACATGCTCACCTATTGTTTTGGAGCTGGGTGAGATAATATACAGGGAACAATAAGTTCTGAAGTAATATGAGAACATGAATGTGAAACATTTAAGGCAGAGAGTTCCACTCAGAAGGTTATGGTGGGTAGAAGAACATTTGTGGGTATTAGAAAATTCATTATTTCCATGTAATGTGAGAAAAACAAGGATTTTTACAGGTTATTAATGATAAAATTTTTGATTGGCACAGAAACAATTTTATTAGCTGTCCAATATTTTCTCAATTTTCTATTTAAATTTCTATGAAGACTCATGAAACAAAACAGCATGTAAATTTTAATCTATAGAGAAAATAGTTCTCTATAAGGATAGACAAAAAAAATATTCCTATTGAACAAATATTAATTTCTTTACACATATATAAATTTAGAGGCAAATAAACACACTAATGACAATATGCAATAGAATGTAACTACAACTGTTTTGATATTAAATGTTTAAATATAAATGTTTATTATTTAAATAGATGGACTTATGTTCAACTTCACATAAAATAAAGAGAAAAGTAAATTAAAGGTAAGAGTGCCATATTTTACCCATAATGATGGAAATGATTAAATATTCTATATTATCAAGAGTGTGTGAAAATTCACATTATAATGGGTAGGAATATAAATTGGTCCTAGCTCTTTGAATTTTAAATGCAAGGAACACTTGATCAACTAATTCCACTTTCAAAAATAATCCTAAACAAAATCTCTCCTGTGTACAGAACATAGCATCTATGTGCTGCCAATTACAACAAAGTTTTTAACAGCAAATGATTCAAGACAACATGAATATCCACCCATATGAAGCTGATTAAATATAATACAATTTTAATACTAAAACAATCAAATTTTCAAATGAGATTTCAGTGAAATTTGAAAAGCTAATTTTAAATATCAAACACCTAGCAATAGCAAAGATAATTTTAAATAATCAGGACAGAGGACTAAAACTACCATATTTAATATTTATAAAGTTGTAGTTAAAAATATTTTGTATTATTGTAGAAATAAAAACATGCATCAATAGAATGAACAGAAAGTAAAAAAGTAAACCCATAGCTCATTGGCATAAGCTATATAAAGGCATTAAAAAAACTGATGGGGGAAAGGATGTATTATCTTAAGGAAATTAGATAATTTTATCAAGATGAAAATAAAGTCCATTTCCAACATAAGAAGTTAACAAATGCTACCAAAATTAAATATAAAGTGAAAATTTTATAAGAAAATATAAAAGCATATAAGTATGACCTCCAAGTAAAAAGTAATTTCTTAAGCCAAGACAAAAAGGTATTAATAATAAAAAATGAAATAAAAATTTAGTATACAGGTGGTCCCCAACTCATCACATATACAAGTTAAAATTAACTATATTTAGGACCATCTGGTTTGGGGTGTTCAGTTGTTGTTTGTTTGTTAATCTTTATGTTTTTCCACTTTATCATTAGTAATATCTGCATATTAAAGTACAGAGAATAATTTGCTAATGCTATTTTCATTTCATTCTCATATTTTCATTTACCTCCACATATTCAATATTATGATGATTTACTGTTCAAAGCATAGCCATATAGCTGGCTATTGCAGTTATAATAAACATTTTAAATAAAATTTAAAAGGAATTTTATTTATGTCAGAATTAACTTATGTAATTGTCAGAACAGTACCCCCTTTAAGTCAGGGACTGCCTATATATATTTAAATCTGCACAATAAAAGGTGCCAGATATCATGAGAAAATAAAAGCCTTGCCAGATGATGAAATGTTTATAATGCACATAACCAGCAAAATAACAATATACAAAATACAGGAAGAATCCGCAAAATGAGAAACCACCTAAGAACAATTTTCACTCACAAATAATAAGGAAAATGTAAATGTAAACAATGTTTCAGATATCTTATTTGCAAAAATATTAAATTGCTAATATACAGCATTGACAAGAGAGTGATGAGCTCTCTCAAACTGCTGATTGAGAATATAAGTTGGAATAATCCTTAAAAGCTAATGTGTCAGTACCTATCAATGTTAAAAATATTACATCCTTCAATATGGATTAATGCAGCTTAACATAAGAAAAACAAAAATTGTCAAAACTGGACCAATAGAAAGCATCATATAAACTGAGAAAAAAACTAAAGCTTTCAAGAACTTTATTTTACTTGGATCCACAAGTAATGCCCATAAAAGCAGTACTTGAAAAAGCAATGGGTGGACTGTATTAGGACATCTGCTTTTAAAGTGTTGCAAAGACGTCACCTGGAGGACTACGGTGGGTCTGACTGACACCATGGCACTCATAACTGGGCTGGATACTTCAAAGGAGAGCCAAAGAAGACATGCTACCATTGAATAGTGCTTTTGGTAAAGAATATCAAGTATGCCATAGACCACCAGAAGAATGAGCAAACTTTTGTTGGAAGAACCACAGCCAGAGGCTCGTTTGAGGAGGAAGATCCGGAAGGAGACGCATTGACAGTCGATACAACTGTAAGGGTAGTCGAGGGCCTAGTTCATACATAAGTAGCTATGAGTCAGAACACACTTGACAGTACTTGACAACAGGAACACATTAAAATTAAAATTAGGCTTGGTTTTAAGCCACCAGTCATATTTATTGATGGATACAGGGACTTAAGAAACTTCATGGAAAATGTCCATTAATTTTAATTCTACTTTTCCACGAACTCTTTGAAATTCCCCCATATATTCACATGCTCAAAGGTATTCTACAGCACTGTGAAAAATCTTACAATTCTAAAAATCATAAAGCTTCGTATACCTGGTAGTACAAATGGCCTTGGTACAATGATTTATCAAAAGAAATGATGAAATTATACATATATTAAAATAAAATACTCTTTAAATTAGATATTAATAGTTTTAAATATATGATAAACATTATTGAGTCATAAAAATATACACATCAATACATACAAAAGTCTTCTTCATCACAATACAACAGATTGATATACATGGTTTCTGCCTGGAAAAAAGTAGATGTAGGCGTGTTAGAAAAGGGTAGATAGAAATTGCTGTAATTTCATCTAGAAATATCCACATTGCTTTTTTTTAACCACCCAAAGTCTAGTAAATATAGCATATACAATTCCATATAGAGCTGTCCTTTTATATCAACAGGGGTACTGGTTCCACGGCATTTCGCAAATATCAAAAGCTACAGATGCTTGAGTTCCTCATATAAAATAATGCAAGATTTTGCATAAAACTCATATACATCTTCACATATATATAATGATTTAAAATATTGAACACAATGCAAATGCTACCTTACTAGTACATTACACTCTCTTTAGTCTTTGAATAAGGCTTTTTGCTCCTGTAAAGAATTACAGCTTCACAAACCCAAAGGACCAATTGTACTCTATCCTATAGTGCCACAATGAGTTGGAATCAACTATATGATGCTAGGTTTGTATATTTTTTCCCCTAACCTGGAGATGGATTGCTTGGGTCACCAAATTGATTTTTAGGGTTTTTCTCTCCCCAACAGAAACCAAGTGTGGATACAATACAAGTAGAGAATGAATTATGCCATGGGAACAGTACTCAAACTAGACTGTGAGAGAGATTGAAGATCTATAAAATGGTGGAGGCTATTGCCTATACATCACTAAAAGGCACGGACTCAGTACAGTGCTCAGAGCCCATCAAAATAAAGTTTGGCTTTACAAAATTTACAATATTTGCTGTATTCATTTTTTCAAATGATTTTCAACATGTTTCGTTGGCTCCATGGATTTAGAAACCTTAGAAATGGATGGACAATTATAATATAAAATAAAACTACAATCAATAAGAGAAATAACAACATGAAGAGAGGATGTCTGTTGCTGTGGTCATCGTTAGATGCTATCAAACTATTTCTAATTCATAGCAACCCCATGCACAACACAATGAAATACTGCGCAATCCTGCACATCCTGAAAATTGCTATGTTTGAGTATTTTGTTGTAGCCACTATGTCAATCCATATCATAGAAGATCTCCCACTTCTTCACTGACTTGCTAAAGTACATAGGAGATTAATCCTCAAAAGAAGAATCCCAAGTGGGTAAAAAAGCAGTAACTCAAAGTAACTGGTCATAAATAAAATATGAATCAAAATGAAAAGATATCATGTCATAAGCTTCATATATATATATTCCAACAATGGTTGCATTTCTACCTTTACAGGGACCTGCCAGAGTTCAGGACTAATTACAAAGAGGGCATACAATAAGGGATATCATTTCTGATATCAGATGAATCATGGCTCATAGCAGAGAATACCAGAAAGATGTTTACTTGTGTTTCATTAACTATTAAAAAGACACATGACTGTGTGGACCATAATTAACTGTGGATAACTTTGAGAGCAATGGTATTCCAGGACATTTCATTGTGAATTTGTGCATGGATCAAGAGGCACCTGTGCAAACAGAACAATGGTATACTAGATACTTTACAATCAGGAAAGGTGTGTTATATCGTCTCACCATAGTTGTTTGCAGAGCAAATCATCAGAGCAGCTGGCATGTATGACAAAAAATGTGGCATCAGAACTGGAGGAAGGCTTATTACCAAGCAGCTCTATGCAGATGGCACAATCTCCTTTGCTGAAAGTGAGGAGGAAGTGAAGCGCCTGCTGATGTAGATCAAGGATTACAGCCTTTAGTGTGGGTTACAACTCAATGGCAGGAAGACCAAAGGCCTCACAGCTGGACATGTAGATAACAAATCATGAAAAATGGAGAAAGCACTGAGGTTCTCGAGGATTATGTCTTCTTGAAGTCACAATCAATACTCCTGGGAGCAGCAGTCCAGAGAGTAAAAGGTATAAAACATTGGGTCAATCTGCCGCACAAGGCCTTTTTAGAGTTTTGAAAAGCAAGGATGTTACTTTGAGGACGAAGGAGTGCCCGACTCAAAAAAGCAGGACTGAAGGTAGAAGAATTGGTGCACTTGAATTGTGGTGCTGGAGAAGAACATTCAAAGTACCATGGACTGCTAAAAGGACAAACTGACCCGTCTTGGGAGAAGTAAGGTTGAGAAGCCAGGATGGTTAAGTCTTGGTGTTACATACTTTGGCTATCTTGTTAGAAGACACTAGTCGCAGGATAAGGATATCATGTTTGCTAAGCTAGAAGGGCAGCACAAAAGAGGAAGGCCCTGAATGAGATGGACTGGCACAGTGGCCGCATCCATGATTCAGGCACAGGAACAACTGTTAGGATGGCACAGGACCATGCAGTGTGTTTCATTGTTTTGCACAGGTCACTATGGGTTGAACCCAACTCACTAACAGCTAACAAACAACATTCTTCGGACTAGCAAATATTTTATTATGCCAAGAATGTGAAGACCTGGAAACACTGAGACATTTTGTTAGTAGAATAAATTGGTAAATCAATTTCACCACTTTTGAGAACGTTTTCCAAAAAGATAGAAAAGGTTTATACCTCAGGATCCACTCATCTACCAGTATGTCACACTACTGTGATTGATGCTAGAAGATATGCCACCAGTATTTCAAATACCAGCAGGGTCACCTACGGTAAACAGGTTTCAGTGGAGCTCCCAAACTAAACACAGACTAGGAAAAGGAATACATGGCCCACTTCTCGGACCAGCCTCCAGAAACCGTATGAATAGCAGCATAATACTTTTCTTAATATAGTGCTAGAAGATGTTTCTTCTCATTTTGACTCATGACGCATCAACAAATAAAGGTCCGGAAGGCTCAAAGTAGACTGTACTTTGAGAAGGCGACTGTTTGAAGTCACACTTTTGAGGGAAAGGCTCCTCGTCTGGTGTTATATTATGCAATGTTCCACTGCTATGAGGAAGCTCCTCAGAGGGCTACCTGTTTGTTTCTGTTGGTATTGTTATTATGTGCCAGAGTCTCTTCCTTCTGGGTCTGGAAGATCCACTGAACCCAGTTCAGTCCTGGGTAACCCTGCTGTGGTTGAAATGGCACAGCTTGCAGCATCACAGTAATGTGTACACTAAACATAGCATGACTAACAAACATGCTGCAGCGTAATCAGATCCCATGTATAATTCCTTTATGAGCTATCAGATATTAACGGAAGTCAGAAATTCACCACTGGTCTACCTCAGGCTACAATGCCCTGATTGACACAATTTCACAGATTTTCATTCATTTTGTTCTCTGTTTTCAAGTCACTTGAGTATTATTTTGTTTGTTTTCTGTCTGTTTCTAAAATCCATTTAGTCTGTCTCAAGGTTTGTAATTTACTCTGCTTGTACTGTCTCCCTCACATTTTAATTAGATTGACTTCTTATCATTGTTTGAATGTTGGCTTAAAGAGTACCTTCTCAAAGAAATTTTCTATGGCCACCTTTCTCAATGCAAGTGCTCAATTATTACTTCTGTTAGTGAACTTTTTCCATCACTCATCTGTAAACTTGTCATACCGTCTGGACTTAGAATAGACTATGAATAAAGACTAGGCTGTCTCTTTCTCAGGAATTAGCTACTGAAAATCTTACAAACAGCAGCATACCATTGTCATATACTGAACAGCTCAGAAATAGCAGTGGAAAATTGTTAGATACAGTGCCGGGTGACAAGTCACTTAGGTAAGAAGGCTGCCTTCTCAATGTAGAGTCAACCACAATCATGTGCATGGAGTAAGGCCTTCAGTGCCTACATTTGTTAGTGGGGAAAACTCATCATGAGAACCAACAGTGGAAAACATTTATTAATAATCAGAATTTGTAATGTATAAAGTAAAATTATAGAAAAATTGGAAGTCAACAAAAAACAGATAAAAATGTATAAAGCTCAATCTTATAGACATTAGTGAGCTAAACTAGACTGGTATTGACCAATTTGAATCAGCCATCATATGGTTTACTATTCTGGGAAATGCAAAAGGAGTGACACCACATTAATTGTAAAAAAGATGTAACTTAAATATGAGGTTGTTTGTAATAGAATGGCATCTATATGATCACAAGGAAATCGGTTGACACAGATATTACTCAAGTTATGCCAACCGCTACAACTGTGCCTGTTGTTAGACACCTTCAAGTCACTGCAATTCATAGTGACCCTGTGTACAACAGGAAAAAGAACACAACCACTGCCTGGTCCTGCATCAGCTTCAAAATTGTTCTCATATTTGAGCCCATTGTTGAAGCCATTGTGTCAAGCCATCTAGTCAAGGGCCTTGCCTTTTTCACTGTCCCTGTACTGTACCAACCATGATGTGTCCTTTATCAAGGACTGTTCTTTCCTGATAACGTGTCCATAGTACATGAGATAAAGTTTTTACCATTCTTGCTTCTAAAGCGCATCAGGTCTCTTTTCTTCCAAGGTGATAGATTTCTTTGTTCTTTCAACAATCTATGGTACTTTCAATATGCCTCACTATCACTACAATTCAAATATATCAATTCTTCCTCAGTCTTCCTTATTCAATGCCCACCTTTCACATGCATATGAGTCAAATGAAAATCCCATGGCCTTTGTTGGCACGGATCATTGTAAAGTGGATTATGGTAGATATGTTCACAGCCATAGAGTGGATGTCAACTCACAGCAACCCAACAGGACAGGGTAGAACTGCCTTGTGAATTTCTGAGACGGTAACTGTTTAAGAGAGTAGAAAGCCGGGACTTTCACCTGAGGAGCAGCTGGTGGTTTCAAACTGCTGACCTTACAGATGAGTGCTCAACTCATAACTACTAGGCCAGCACGGCTCCATAAAAGACACAGCTAGGTTAAAATGTAACATGTTATTTGACCTCCTTTTAATCCATTCAAAAAGTTGTTTCATTAAAGGAAAATAAAGTAAAGGGGAATACACATGGAGTAAGCCTCCGGTGAATCCCCTCTGATCATAGGCCAGGGATGTGAATAGTCTTGCTACCATGCAGAACGCATTAGAAAGTGGATTATTGTAATAGCAGTTACATTAAAATTAAAATTTTTTTCATTTGATATCCCATATGACT